GTGTGCTGATACATCCCAGCGTTGACAATAGCCTCAGTTGCCTTTATTGTGGGGCTGCTGCACCGTCAGCACACACTGCGCGAGGTAGAGAAAAACCACTGGGGAAATGTCTTAAGTGACTCAGCCCCTGCTTGTGGTGGTTGGTAGTTGCGCATTTCTCTCTCCTGCCCTCCAAAGGAAGGGAAAAAAAAAAAAAAGCCTAGCACAGCTTTTTTAGAAAAACCTAAATGTGTTCCCTTGGCATCTGGAGGCTGCGGGAATCTGGTTTCAGTACCAGGGGAAGGGAAGGACATGCCTGACAGAGGCTGGGTCCCAGGGCCCCCTGCACCACAGACCCCAGAGCTTGGATCCTGGCCGAGACCTTGTTTTTGTTGGAGAGACATGGGTGGGAAGCAGACACGAGACTGGGATCCTGGGAAAATTTTTTAGCGGGTCAGTACCTCCAGGACAGCAGCTAGATGAGGCTGTGCCTGACTCTGGGGAGGATGCTGGTGAGTGGGGGCGCTTGGGCCACAAAGGTCATCACGCACCATGTGCAAGCAGGCAGTACACGGAGGGCTCATGCCTCTGTTGCCGGGTTTAAGGATGTCTTCAAAGACAGGTGTGGGGCCTTCCAGCCAATGCACATTTTGGACATCCCCAAGGGCAGCAGGGGAGACTTGGGCTGTCCTGGTGGGGAGAGGTGGGGAGTGCCTCCTGGGGTGGACACTCCTGTAGCATCCCTGACCACATCTGGATTTTCAGGGAGTGTCCACAGCCCCGGAGCTACTGTTGGGATCTGGCTCTGGCCATGAGAATGTCACGGCCTATTTCTCTAGCTTATGAAAGAGCTATGCTCAGTCTTTCAGTTTGTGTGGAGAACTCTCCCCAGTGTCCGCTCTAATATGTGTGCATTTTTACAAAAGCACATGTACACAACCAAAAAGCTAGAATTGTTTAATTCTAGTTGTGATTTGAGGGACCATTGAGCCAACCTCCCACTCAGAATTCATCTACTCTCCCCACCCCCATGCCCAGCATGTATCTCGAGGGCGTATGGGTGCTGGGGAGACAGAGTGAAAGTTTCTGTCCAAAAGGAATAATTCTGTGTCCGGTCAGGGAAATGGACATGCAGGCAGCTCTCTCCAAGGTACATGGTGGTGCAGAGGCAGGGAGAAATCACAGCACAATGTGAAATGCTGGGCAGAGGTATTAACCCAATTTGGGGTCAGGGAACTTCCTTTAGGTGGTAACTCTGGGCAAAATTTAAAGGAGTGGTAGGAGGAAGACACCCCGGGGAGAAAAAGAACATCAACATGGGACTTCAAGCTGAAGCTAAGGAATGGAAGGAGATGGGGCCAGAGGAGAGGTCAGCACACAGATGGTGCAGGGCGGCGGGGAGCCAGAGCACACTTAGAACAGGGAGTGGGTGAAGGTTTGGGTGTCAGCCTCCCGTGTGCAGGAGGAGTTTAAGGGGTGTAACCAGAGTCTCCCCTGACTCACACTGCTGTCCTTGAAGCCTCCCATCGGCTCTGCTTGTCCTTGCTCAGCTCACTCATATGTTCCTCCTCCTCCAGCTTCTCTCTAAGCCTGTTTCTAACACGCACAAGACCCTGCTTCTGACTCCACAGCAGCAGCTCAGACCATCATGCAGATACTTTTCCATCCCCACTGCTGCCCCCACAAGCTACAGCTCTATCCGTGTCTGAATCCGTGATCCTCGCTTCCTGCCTGCATTCTCTGAGGATGAAATATCCCTCTCCTAGACCAAGGCCCGCCCTGCCACCTGTGCCCGTGACCACCCCCTTTCCCAAAGAATCCTCAGGCACCTTCAGTCTTGTCCCTTTCTACCAGCACTTTCCTCTTAGCTCCAGTCTTCTCTATTCTAAAATTAATCATCATTTCAATGTCTTCCTTCCTGTTCCCTGGCTTCCTCCATCCGGAGAGCTGGTTAACACAATCTCTGCTTCCTCACTTCCCATTGGCCACTCAGCCCCCTTGACTTGACCAGAGGCCTGTCCTCGCCAAGTCCAGTGGCTGCTGTCCAGTTCTGATGCTATTAGAACTCTCTGTTGCACTTGGCACCATTGGCCATCCCTTCCTGGAAATCTGCTCTCTACCTCTAGGACAATGCACTCTGCTTATTTCTCCTAGATCCTTCCTGACCCGTCCTACTGTGGTGTTACGGACTGAATGTTTGTGTCTGCCACCACCCCCTCCCCCATTCATGTTGAAACCCTAACCCTGATTATGATGGTATTAGCAGGTGGTCCCTTTGAGAGGTGATTAGGTCAGGAGGGTGGTGCTTTGGTGATTGGGATTAGTGCCCTTATAAATAAAGGGGACCCAAGGGAGTGCTCTTGCCCTCCTCACCTCCACCATGTGAGGTCGAGCAGGAACATGGCCATTTATGAACTAGGATGCACTCTCATATCAACCACTGAGTCTGCCAGTGCCTTGATCTTAGACTTTCCAGCCTCCAGTAACTGTGAGAAAGAAATGTTTTGTGCTTATGTCACTCAGTCTTTGGTATTTTTCTTACAGGAGCTAAAAGGGACTAAGATACCTGTCCTTCAGCTTCTCTTTCTAGCCTGCCTCTTAAAAGCCAGTGTCCCCTAGCCCTCTTCTCATATTCCCTCTGTAACTCATATCTTAGGGGGCATTTGAGAGAGCACACCCCCTCTGCATTGAGGATTCTCAAGCCCTTCTCAGCACCTGGTGAGCTGCTGCATCCAGACGGCTCAGGATGTACATCTTCCTCCACAGACTTGCTCCCCGCTCATGCTTCTGCACTGGAAGCTGGTGGCTCAGTCATCTTCCCAGTAGCTCCCATGTCTCTTCTCCCTCTGCATCTTCTATGTCTAATCGGTTATAAGTCTTCATGACTGCACTCCTAAACTCTTCTCTCATATGCCCCTTCCTCCTTTCTCTGCCACCAGTACTGCACTAGTCCAGGTCTCATTGTCTGTTTTTTAAAAATATTATTTACCATTTTATTTTTAAAATTTAAAAACAAATTTTTGCTGCATCAGGTCTTAGTTGCTGCATGAGGGATCTTTCGTTGTGGAGTGTGGGCTCCAGAGCACATGGGCCCTGTAGTTGTAGAACATGGGCTTATTTGCCCCGAGGTTATGTGGGATCTTAGTTCCCCAACAAGGGATCGAACCTCCTTCCCCTACGTTGGAAGGTGGATTCTTAACCACTGGACCACCAGGTAAGTCCCTCATTACCTGCTATTGCTTGGAATTCTGCAGTAACTTCCTAACTGGTCATCTGGCCCTGAATCTTCATAGGAGGTCATTTCATTACCCTTCTATTTGACATTTCCTGAGACGGGAGGTGTACTGTACCCTAAAGGCGATACATCCCCACATTTGAAAACTCTAATTACTAGAAAGTTGTTCCTTGTATTGAGTCAGAATCTGTGCCCTACAATGTCCAGCTATTATTATTCTTCAGTTAAATGGGAGTAAACCCTTCAGATGCATGCTTTTCCCCCTCCAGCATGTCTATTTGAAGCCAAATTAGTTGGTATGAATAGACACCTAGAAATAAGACAGAAGGGAGTCTGGATTCATTTCTCTACGGAGTTGAACCAAGAATGTGTGACCTGTCATCTTAGGATGAGAACACCTCAAAGCTTTGTATATGTCAACACAGCCCTCATGTTCCCCACATCCTTTCTGTACAGACTGAACATGTTTAGTTCTTTGTATATATTTTGGGAGACTTGGATTCTAGTTTTCAGGCAATCCTTGACTGCAGAAGTCTAAGTGAGTCACGAAAATTCACGGCCTTGGTCATGTTTTCTTTTGTGAGATATAATTATTCTTGCTACCTCTTTAACTCCAAGGATATTGTATGATTCATGAGATATGAATTGTATTGTATCGAGTGTCTTGTCCCTCTAAGTCCAGCTGCTGTTTCCCTGATCCTGCCCATGACATCTAACATGGTGTTTGTGTTTAAAAGAAAAAACAAAAAAAACTTATTAGATGAGTTATGTGGGTGTCAAGACCTTTGAATTCTTCTGAGAGAAATATATACCTTTAAACTGGCATGCATGAGACTTGTATATTGGAAACCATAACCATAACATTGATGCTTGGCCAAAACCCATTTTGTGATGAATCATTTAGTTTGACTGAAAACCTACCATATACTTAGCTCTGATATATAATGCACTTTCTGAGACAGTTGTTAGTCATGTGCTATTTTGGAAAGAGAGAATTTGGGAAGTCATTTATTCCACACCCCACATTGAAAAGCTTTCTGAATCTTTGAATTTTTCTCCACGTGTTTGGCATATCTCATTTTTCTTTCAATTACATCTCCTAGTGTCTTTCAGTCACAATGCATTTTGTTTATTCAGTAATGCCTCATTCATTTGAGGTGAAGAAAGGATAGAATTTGGGTTTGGGGTTTGTTTGTTTTTGTAAAGGATTGTATTTGAATTGATTTTTATTTTCTGATGTTCTTATTTAAGAGCAAATAGGGCATCCATTTGGTGTACGGCTGTGTTCCCAGTCACTCATAATTTAAATTAAGATGTTGAATGAACAAGCTTGAATTACCAGTGGTAAGATTTCTGGTTTGGCTCTCTCTGCATCCTGAACTCTGGTCAGTGGGTCTCCAAACCCTTATCCTGGGTCTGCCTTAGCCAGGGAAGACTCTTGTTTTTCGTTCTCCATAGATGTTAACAAAGCACTACTCTTACTGAATGGAATCTCACTGCCAGACTGAGCGATTAATATTTCACTTGCATTGTCTTATTTAGCCTGTGTGCCAACCCTATGAGAGAGGGGGGTTATTATCAGAAGTCACCTGAGGACGTGGTTAAAGGGAGCAAAGCAGTTTAGAGGAGGTTTTCATTAGTTGAACTGGTACTCGGCTTTTATTTGAAGCCCTTCGTATCACTGACCCAATAAATGATTAAGTGCAACCAGGGACCTCCAGCCTTCATTGTAAGTGTGGGCACATCCGACTTCTCACCGGGAGGAACCAGAATACAGGGCTCCCGCACAGGGGTTACCTGGATGTCCGCTCCAGGAAGCCATCATCTCGGTTTGATCTGGAGGGGAGGGTACCTGCTGCTGCTTTTAGCAGGGCTGGATGCTAACAAATGGCCTGTTGAAAATCTCATCATGTTTCAGTGTATCTATTACCAGAGAAAGGTGAGACCCCCTTGGAGCTGAGCCCTGAGTGAGCCCCTGAGTAAATAATGTTTTGTCCCCCCGGGGCTGGGTTGTGGGGGGTGGGGTGGGGAGCGCCTACAGTGTGTGAGTACACGGGGCGAGTTCTTTCACGTGTGAGTAGCCTTTTGAAGGAAGGCAGAGCCATCATCTTGTTGGATGTGCTGCACTCTGTCACACTTAAAATTCCTCCTGCCGTTTTCAGACTGATTCTCTCCTTCACTGAGAAATAATTTTCAATCCCTTGGTGTTTCATCAAAATGAAATCGAACTTCAAAAGCAATAGCTTCATGATCTAGCAGGATGGGAAGGTGTGGGGTTGGGGGGGGGGACCTTGCCCAGAGAATGATTGGGGATAAAAGGCAACAGGAGTTTAACATCAAAGGGAGCCCCGGGTACCAATCAGAATGATTCTAGTGTAATTAGTTTGGAATGGAGGATTAAGTTACTGCTGCCTGCTTGATGGGTACGCTGCTTTTCGGCTGCAGTCTGCACAAATTAAAATGAAAGCAGTCTTTCTCATTTACACACATGGAAAGCAGAATTTTAGTGAGAATTTCTCAGAACCTTGATAAGCACAGAGGTCCACAGATATCCTCTTCACGTTTCTTATTCATGGTTTCTGAGCCTCTTTTGATAAGAGCTCGATAAGGTTTGATAATGAATAAAATGAAATCTCTTGGACTTGGGCTGCAGGATGGGAGGCTGTTGTTGGCATTTTCCTTTCTGTGTTAAGAATCTGATGGCCCCTGTCTCATCCTTTGTCTGTGAAAAGGAAAATCACCCAGAGTGAAAAAAATAAAGCATCTTAATTTAACAGCAAATTGCAAATCCGTTTTTAATGGCACTGGAGGATCTGATGTAAAGTGTGATAAATTACTCAGGTTTAATTATAAAATGGGAAAATGGCGTCAAAACCCATCTGTAGAATCTTTGCTGAAGATTAGATTCTTTCTAGGGTTTAGAAAGGAGAAATTTGTATCACCCAGGAGCTTGAACATTAGCATCAAATTAAGTGAAGTGTTTCAGAAATCTCTTTGGCATGGATTCCTTTCTCAGAAGTATCAGGTGCCCTCGCTGACCTCTAGGAAGGCAGAACACTGAGAACTTCAGAGAACATCACGTGACTTCTTGCTGTGCATTCCCTTCAGGTGTCTCGTCTCCTCAGAGAAGCTGTAGCCCAGGTCAGGCCAGGGGGTATTTCTTACTCACATTTGCATCTCCGCTCCGATCTAGCCTGGGATGAGCACAGCGGACACTCAGGACGTCCTTGACTTTAATTGAAGGCACAGTGTTCCAGTGACTATCAAGTTCTTGACTTAAGACTACATGATTGTTTCTGCAGAACTCTGGCCAATAGGATGAAGTATGTGTGGGTTAGGAACCTGCCCCCAAAGACTGCTTCACTGAGCTTTAATCTCGGGATTGAGAGGAGTGGGCTCAGAGGCAAGGGGCCCAAGTGAGACCAGAGATCCCCATTTGTCAAGAGCCCAACACCAAACAGGCCAAGAGGCCCCGGGAGAGCCCAGGGCCTTTCCCTCCTAGCTTGTAGCATACCTTTGTGTGAATTAGAATAAGACCGCTTCCCCAAGACACTGTATTGCCATCTGCCGGGCAACAGTTGTGTACAAATTTTCGATGGCTGTGTATGAAGGGCCCCTCCTTAGATATCACGTCCCTGTGTTGTGCACATCCCGGAGCCAACGGCCAGGCCGCCACTGTGTGCCCACCACCGGGCTGGGCCAGGCCCAACTGCCCATGCCACTCTTTGCTTTTACCCACCAAATAGGAGACTTAAAATTTGAATTTAACATTTCTTCCCTTTGGACTTTTAGTTGCAAAATTAAGTGTTTTCTTAAGTAGAGACATTGGTTTTAGTCAGTTACTAGAGTGAGAAACTGTATTTGTCTAGCCTAGCACCCCAGTGGGAAAAGTTGGATTAGTGAATGCAAGCTTTTCTTCAGTTTTCTTTGGATTATAATAAAATAGTTCTGGGCAAGCCATGAAAGCCAGCAAGTATCAGTCAAAGGTGACCCAGAAACCAGTATATGAATTGTTTCGTTTCAAGGTCTTAGGAGTGCCACAAGCACCATCCCGTTTCCTTCCATTCTACCTCGGATTGAAACAGCTGAGGGTTTGTACTAAAAATTGTTGGGCCTGAAACTGGTGGAGAAGTGGGTTTTTGTTTTTCAGCCTGTGGTTAAGGTTAAGAGTGCAGAAGTAATTGGGATTTATTCATTCTGTGCCTTCATGATCAATTTATGCTGGTTTTCAATGGTAAAAATACCAGTTGGATCTCTGAAAGCCCTTGATATACTTTGGAATGTGGTTGTAAACTGGCCCACTGCTTAAAATTCAGCACAAAGCAATGGTTCAAAGGAGCTGAGTTTCTGAAATCTCCAAAGTATCTTACTTTTAGGTGGATTTGCTTTATAAGGCAGTCCTTGGTGAGGCTTCAGAATACTCCAGTAAAGGTGATTGAGGGTGTGGTTTTTCCAAGGTGGGGGAGCTCCACCTCTTGGTGTGTTTACAGCGTTTGTTACGGATCCAAACGGCGCAGCCATCATCACATCATCACATGCAGGACTTCAGCGCATTTCCGATGAGGGTCTGTTTACTTGGACTCCTCTGTTGCCCTGGCCCCAGCCAGCTTAGGGACAGTGCATGGCAGACCCAGAGGGGTTTCCCACCAGCTCATCAGAGGGCATGGTCTTTGCTCAGAAATGAGACCAGTTTTACCTGCAGTGAGACTGATACTTTTGTTTGTGATCGTCATTTCTGGATGAGGCTTCTGGAGAAACATGACCTGTGGAGTTGTTTGGTTGAACCTGACGAGTAGCCTGAACAGTTGTGGATCTCTCCCTCAGCTGAGAAAATCATCCCTGTGCAGAAGAAAGAGACTTTTGTTTGAGAGCCTGATAGCTTTCTGGCTGTTGTGGCCTGATGTTCTAAACTAGGATAGAATAGCCCAGAAATTCCCTCCCTTCCTCCCTCTCTCTTTTCTTGTGCACATTCCTGTCCCTCCTCCTTTTTTATCTTAAGCAAGTCAATTCCCAACTTCGATCATAGAATGAATGACTAGAAAATCATCCCGATCTTAAAAATTCAACAAAAAACATGTTGATGACTAAGCCGCCTGGGCCCCAAAGGACACGTCATCTCTGTACCGGGACCTCTCAGCCCTTGTACGAAACACACAACTTCCCTGCACTCTCAGGCTGCTTCCCTGTCCTGTGTGCTGGGGACATGTGACTGGCCGGAGTAACTGCATGTGTGTGTTCATACGGAGACACATGTCACCAAGGGACAGTGCTTTTTACAGGTCATCAGCGTCACCCTGCACAGATGGAAGCATTTAGCGGTACTCAAAAACCCAGCAACTATTAACTTGGAACTGAAATGAACAGAATAAACACACCTACACCTGAGTAGAAATTGGTAGTCTCAACTCCTAGCTTTTTTTTTTTTTTTTTTAATTTTTATTAGTTGGAGGCTAATTACTTTACATCATTACAGTAGTTTTTGTTATACATTGAAATGAATTAGCCATGGATTTACATGTACTCCCCATCCCAGTCCCCCCTCCCACCTCCCTCTCCACCCGATCCCTCTGGGTCTTCCCAGTGCACCAGGCCCGAGCACTTGTCTCATGTACCCAACCTGAGCTGGTTATCCGTTTCACCCTAGATAATATACATGTTTCAATGCTGTTCTCCTGAAACATCCCACCCTCGCCTTCTCCCAGAGTCCACAAGTCTGTTCCATACATCTGAGTCTCTTTTTCTGTTTTGCATATAGGGTTATCATTACCATCTTTCTAAAGTCCATATATATGTGTTAGTATACTGTAATGGTCTTTATCTTTCTGGCTTACTTCGCTCTGTATAATGGGCTCCAGTTTCATCCATCTCATTAGAACTGATTCAAATGAATTCTTTTTAATGGCTGAGTAATATTCCATGGTGTATATGTACCACAACTCCTAGCTTTTTTACTCCATTAGAGCTAAATTCTCAAAGACCAGACATCTCTTAAACCTTCTGATGGATTGTATAATTCTTTTTTAAAAAAAATTCTTTAGTGGGTGAAGCAACTCTCTTTTTGTAGCTAAGAGGCATCTTTAAAGGGGCTTCAAATTCTACATTGTTCCGTATGAGCACAGACTATGTACTAGGCACACTGCCGGATCCTTCTTTTTTTTTTAATGCCAGGTACATGAGGTCAGGTAGCCCAGTGAAGTGGGTACTAATACCCCCAGATGTAGACAGATGCAAGTTAAGAGAAGTCTAGAAAGATGGCCAAGATCACCTGTTCTTTTTTTCTTCCAGTTTTATTGAGATATAATTGACATACAGAACTATATAAAGTGTACAGCATAATGATTTGACTTACATACATCATGAAATGATTATCACAATAAGTTTAGTGAACATCTATCATCTTGTGTAGATAAAAAAATAGAAAAAAATGTATTTGTTTTCCTTGTGATGAGAACTCAGGATTTACTCTCTTAACATACGTGTTAACATTTGTAACATACATGCATATGTGTTCAGTCACTCAGTCGTGTCCAACTCTTTGCAACCCCATGGACTGTAGCCCGCCAGGCTCCTCTCTCCATGGGATTTCCCAGGCAATAATATTGAAGCAGTATTAATTTATCATGTTGCACATATATCCCTAGAACTTATCTTGAACTTTTTGATTGTCTTCATCCAATTCCCCCTCCCCCGACCCTGGCCTCTAGTAACTACAAATTTGATCTTTCTTTTTCTATGAGTTTGTTTGTTTTTGAAGTACAGTTGATGTATATAACACTATGTTAATTCCTGTTATGTAATGTAATGATTTGATATTTCTGTACATTCATATGATTACCATGATAAGTTTAGTTACCATCTGTCAGCATACAAATATATTGCATAATTCTTGACTGTATTCCCCCCACTATACATTTCATCGCCTGACTCATTTATTTTGCA